AACAACAACAACAACAACAACAACAACAACAACAACAACAACAACAACAACAAAGAGCAACAACAACATAACACAAAAAGAAACATTTTTGTTTAGGAAGACCGACACCTCCCTTCATAACAATGATTCCAATCCACAAGGAGTAGAACCCAGTATAATTATTCATCAGTAGAGGGCATCACGATAATAATAGGCCTATATTTTACAACTGTGCCCAAGATATGAAGGTTCAGCAGACCATGACAGTTATAAGAAGTGTGTTGTATAACGTTCTCATTTCGGAAAAAAGGGGGAAGGGGTGAGGTTTTGGCATGAACACAACTTGTTTGATACACAGAGAGACAAAGAAGCTCGTGCAAACATCATGATAGTTGGCGCTCACTAAAGACAGAAGGAAAATTTTCATAACAAGGGTCGTATCTATTCTAAAATTCTAATACCTTTGTGTGGTGACTAAACGCCGTGGACTCTTTAAAGTGTAAGGTGACGGCCAGGGAGGAAGGGGAAAGGGGAGGCTAGACACTGTGTGCTTGCACAACGAATGCTTCATTTTCGATCTACGTTTTGGCGTCTTTGGTCGGATGATGGTGGTGTTGGTGAAAGTGATGACGGTGGTGATAATTAATATTGGTGGTCCGTGTTGGAGTGGTGGATGTTGTTGTAGGGATGACCGCGGTGTTAGTGGTGGTGGTAGTGGTGATTGTGCTTGAGGTGGTGGTGATGGTGGCGCTGATGGTGGCGGCGGTGGTGGCAGGAGACTGGAAGGCGTTTGCCACGAGATGGGTGTGTGCTGATCTAACTATAGCACAGTTAAACAGCTACTACAGTTAACACAAAACATTAGAAATATATACATTACATCAATAGGATAAATTAAACTAGAGGATATTTTACGTGGAATTCCCATCACGAAGTACAATAATACACATGAAAGAAGTGGCTGGCAGTGACTAATAATAAACTAGATAAATCTATATATTTATGATTAAGTGTTAAGAACTATTATGATTAGAGCAAGTTAAAACCCAAATTAAATCTTGAACCATGAACGACGTTTGTAAGACATTGTACCCTGAGACATATTTTTTTCATCTCATTGTGCAGTTGGTATTTACGTGTTTGGCAGTTTTATCTACATAAGGCGTCTGCATTGGACGTAGCAGCACCCCTTTACAACAGGCAACAACGTACTGTTCTGGTATTCCTTAACATTTATACTAAGGAGAGTGGTTTAAATTTTGGGCAGTAACTAATTTTTCACGGATGGCAGCCAATATGGCCTACTCTTTTAAGATTCTAGAACCGCCAAGGGATCTTTAAGACGAGAAACTTCCATAGAGATCAGGGGCTGTAGAAAACGTAAGAATTTAAACAACTGGACGTTTGAGAGGATCAAGCTCCAGATCTCCACGTTGCAAGGCGAACACCATACATCTTGAGGTACTGAGCCCCCTCCCCC